CGATCAAGCGACTGAAATCCAACTGAAATTATTCATAATTCTCACTTGTTCGTTTTATTTCGATCTTGACCTCTAAACATTTTAAACATACTAAAATACAATTCAGTTTTCGCCGGAATTACAATTTAAATATCAAAATTGCAACAAAACTTTACGAATGACGGATACAATCGTCGTGACACAAAATTCTGCCGCATCTCCATGACGACGGATATATTCGTCGAACACACTTTTAACCGGTTAAAACACATATTCGCGCGCCGCGAATACGCGTTGCTCGACGATTAAATCTGTAGTCTCGGGTTACCGGAGAGGTCGAGGAGACAAAGATTCAGGAGCTGGACGTTCAAAGCGAATTACCACGGAGTATCTTCGATGCTTCTTGTACGGTCTCGAGGAAGACGAAAAGGAGCAATCGCGGGAGAAAGCGATTGCCGCGTTCGAGTGCGCTCGTTCGATCGGGAATTAAAGGAAGCGGGCGAGCGAGGATTCGCTCTGGTCGCGCGCAAAATTTCCAGATAGAACTTTTAGGTATAGCACTTTTCGGCTCGTTAGGCGCGCGCGCGCGCGCGCGTGGCGGCCTCTTAACGACCTGCCCACGCGGGAGCCGTCCACGTAAGAACACTGATAAGCGTGTTTTTCTACGTGGCGTCGTCGCGCGACCGGCTCTCTTCCCGTCGGCAATCCCCGGGGAAAAAATAGGAACAACCATCGGAAACGAGATACTGTGCCACGTCGTCCAGCGAATCGCGTTTCCCGGTGCCGAGGAGCGTGCTAACCGCATGATCGAATGCTATATAAAAGCATGACCCGTATAAACCTCTCCGCGTGGACATTTGCATATTTTTCATACGGTTGCACAACGCGCACGTCGCGACGCGCCGCGTAGCGGGCGTTATTCACCGCGCGAGTCCCCGTCGAGGAGGCTAATTAATTGATAAAACTCAACGATGCTCCGAAAACTAGTTGGCCGTGCGCGCGCGAGCGAGCGTGCTGCAACGCGCGCCACTGCAAACAAGATTGCGGGGGAATTTCTTTTCTGCGGCCGCGGTATGCGGGCGAAGATGGAATCGTTCGGCCAAACGTTGCGTGCTAATTTCGCTGCGTAATTACACGGCCGTGTAACGTTCGCTAGAGCCGGTTAGAACGTAACACGATACCCGTCGAACGTTACGCACAATCGGACGTGTAATACGCGAAATGAGAATCGTGATTCCGCGAACGAAACAGTTCTACTGTACGTACGCGAATTAATATTGTGTAGCGGGATGTGTAACGCGAGTACCTAGCCATTTTTCCAATAGCTTGGTCCAGCGTTAATGGTACGCGATCGTTATTGTTCCATTGGGTTGGCAACTAAGTAATTGCCGATTTTAGTTATCGATGTCTCTCACTCCCATTTTTATGATATCCGTAAATGTTATATTATAAAATTATTATTATTAGTAGTATTATGTTATTTTTTATTATCCGTGAATGTTAGCAACTGGACAAATTGAATGCAGCGGTCATTTGCAGTTAAAATGGCTTCGAGTGCGAAGAGTTAAGTTTATACTCGTAGCTATTCGAGCCAAATTCATCGACTTCGCTTATTGTTATGAAAAAATTGACGACGCACGCCCGAATGACAATTCTTTTTGATCCTTTCATGATGTTTGGGATCTACATGACCGGGGTATTAACCCTTTGCACTCGAGCGATGACTTTGGCGCAACACTAAAATTGTTGCACCACGTTTCAAGATAAGTTGTACACGATCAAAGCTTAGATATGAAAAATTGTTAAAAGTCTAACCGTTGTATGAGTCACAAGACCGGATTTCGTATGCGTAAAATGGACTTTATCGTATAAAATGGAAATACTATAAGACAGGAAAGTTAATTTATTGGGTTGGCAACTAAGTAATTGCCGATTTCAGTTATAGGCTGTCTCTTATACACATCTAGATGTGTATAAGAGACAGGGAAAATACATTACAGATTAAACTTCGTTCCAAGTAAAAAAAAATTTTTTATTTCATCGAACAAATCGGCAATTACTTAGTTGCCAACCCAATAAATTAACTTTCCTGTCTTATAGCTGTCTCTTATACACATCTAGATGTGTATAAGAGACAGGGAAAATACATTACAGATTAAACTTCGTTCCAAGTAAAAAAAAATTTTTTATTTCATCGAACAAATCGGCAATTACTTAGTTGCCAACCCAATAAATTAACTTTCCTGTCTTATAGCTGTCTCTTATACACATCTAGATGTGTATAAGAGACAGGGAAAATACATTACAGATTAAACTTCGTTCCAAGTAAAAAAAAATTTTTTATTTCATCGAACAAATCGGCAATTACTTAGTTGCCAACCCAATAAATTAACTTTCCTGTCTTATAGCTGTCTCTTATACACATCTAGATGTGTATAAGAGACAGGGAAAATACATTACAGATTAAACTTCGTTCCAAGTAAAAAAAAATTTTTTATTTCATCGAACAAATCGGCAATTACTTAGTTGCCAACCCAATAAATTAACTTTCCTGTCTTATAGCTGTCTCTTATACACATCTAGATGTGTATAAGAGACAGGGAAAATACATTACAGATTAAACTTCGTTCCAAGTAAAAAAAAATTTTTTATTTCATCGAACAAATCGGCAATTACTTAGTTGCCAACCCAATAAATTAACTTTCCTGTCTTATAGCTGTCTCTTATACACATCTAGATGTGTATAAGAGACAGGGAAAATACATTACAGATTAAACTTCGTTCCAAGTAAAAAAAAATTTTTTATTTCATCGAACAAATCGGCAATTACTTAGTTGCCAACCCAATAAATTAACTTTCCTGTCTTATAGCTGTCTCTTATACACATCTAGATGTGTATAAGAGACAGGGAAAATACATTACAGATTAAACTTCGTTCCAAGTAAAAAAAAATTTTTTATTTCATCGAACAAATCGGCAATTACTTAGTTGCCAACCCAATAAATTAACTTTCCTGTCTTATAGCTGTCTCTTATACACATCTAGATGTGTATAAGAGACAGGGAAAATACATTACAGATTAAACTTCGTTCCAAGTAAAAAAAAATTTTTTATTTCATCGAACAAATCGGCAATTACTTAGTTGCCAACCCAATAAATTAACTTTCCTGTCTTATAGCTGTCTCTTATACACATCTAGATGTGTATAAGAGACAGGGAAAATACATTACAGATTAAACTTCGTTCCAAGTAAAAAAAAATTTTTTATTTCATCGAACAAATCGGCAATTACTTAGTAGCCAACCCAATAATACGTTCGCTTTGTCTTTTCGACGAGAATGAAAACGCAGCTTCGAGCGTGCTAAACAGTTCAGTAATCTCGGAAACGTACGTTCGTCCGTGTAAACCTGTTCCTAAAATGATGACGAAATGCTAGGAGAGTTTCTGACGATAGCACTAAATATAGACGTAAAAGTGTTATTCTAATAGGATACGATGATATGCACTAATGTACGTCATAATTGTTATAATACAGTAATATATAGTACAGTAGTATTTATCGTGTCTGTACTGTCGTAATAGTTGTACTGCTAACAATCTTAATGTACAAAGTATAGCGGTAAAGTATATGTGCATATCGTAATTAGTCTATGAATACTTTCATATTTGAGCCGTTTATTTTGAAAGCGGCACAAGTCACTTTGTTTTTAAGTCGATACATTTAAGGGTTTGCGTTTTAACACGTTTAAAAATATGGATGCTAACTGTCGAGAAGATTTGCTTGTATTTGTTATCTCAGGATACTGATATTTTTCTCAGTATAAGTACTTTCGTATAAACATTAAAAAATCACCACTTTTCATTACGGTAAAGTAACTTATGCCACTTTCAAAATAAACGGCTCATTTAAAGACCGCCGGAATGAACATTTTACTAAGCCACGATAAATTCAGCGGTTGCACATCCAACGAGAACATTCATTCTGATATTAGATATAATATCTGTAGTTTAATAGATTTACGCGACTGATTTTTTCCGCATCATGCTTCAATAACGAAAATAAAACAATCATACGGCTTTGTAAAGAAATTACTACTGCCTGTTTTCCGAAGAAACTCGAGGTACGTCGATAGTCATAATAATTGTCCTCCCCACTCCTGCCGACCATATGTTATGAAGCAGGAGCGATCGCGGTGGGGCGGACAGCTATTATGAGCATCGGTAGACCTTAGTTCTTTTTGAGAAAAGACAGGCTAAAGTAAGCACCGGTCAGCGTAATAATTTTTACTGCTATAAATTCCGTTCTTAGAAGCATAAATTGTTGCAGCTACACAACCTGCGACATCCTAAATCCACGAGAATGTCCAGTTTCTATAATTCCGCGAGTTTTAAAGTGAATGAATGAAACGGTGCGGTTTTCGATTCCGAATCGGCAACTAATAAAACAAGAAACAAGGCTGTCCCAAAGAGCAACGTTACTTTCACTCGGACCCACCAGCATCGACACACCAAACCGAACCAAACTCCGAACGAACATGATTTTCTTTTCCGCACCGAATTCGCGCATAGTGACGAGGCATTAATGGCAAAGCGTACCGCCAGTAATAAAGCCGGAGCACACACAGGTTATTAGCTGTGAACGTGTTAGAGCGGGTTGACGTGTGTTGAGAATGGTCCCGATGGTAGGGGGAAAGCCTGTGCAAGGACGAGGCCGTGTATCCCGAAAACGTGTCGTAACGTTCGAGGCTGGTTTAGCGGTTAAAGTTGAATAGAATCGTGCGGGAAACAGTCGTGAACGCTGCGGGACCGTCTCGTGCTCGGCGCGATCGCGGTAGTCGCCGATTCGATAAACGATAAATAAAGCGATAATCGTCGATGCCACGACGAACGCGTGGACCGTTCAAGGAGGTTTGACAGTTCAAATTGACAGATTTAGGCCGATGCACCGAAATCGGCGGGAATGCCCGTGAAACGCACGGCCGGCTCCTTGATCGTGTACACAAATGTTCAGGGTTACTCACCAGGTGAAGCACGGTGTTGACAACTTCCCGATTCGACACCTGTCCGACTTCGATCAGCCCGATCAGCACGGCGAATTTCAGGCTGTCGTTCATCGCCATCGCCACCACCTCCTCGGGCCGTTTAATGTCACTGAACGGTGGACTCTTCATGTCCGCCATCGCGACGGTGCTCGTACGCTGGCAACACGTTTCTCCCGCGAGGAGTATCTACGATAGTTTACACGAAGATCGTCTTATACACGAGAGCTTTTCCCCGTCACATGATAATACAACACAAATTGATCTGCCATGTTAGAAAGTAGACACTGTTATGAGCGGTCTGCCAGCACGCCAGCGTGAAACACCCTAGCGACGCGCTCGCAGTCCCAACACCAACTGAGCCCCTAAGTACCTGACCGCGGATGCGCGCGCACGCGTGGTGGGAGTCGGCGCGATTTATGAATCGCGTCGAACGAAAAAATACCACTCCGCAGCGCCGACGACTGTCCGTTTCGATAACGAGCAAACCGATTCTCGTAAATTCGAACCGAGTAAACATGAATTTGCACGTTGCTTTATGTTATCGATATCGTGTTTTGTATTATATCTGGAATTACGTTTATCCGGAACATTAATAAACACGTGCGCGAGCTGTGTAAATGGAATTTTATATTATATATATTTATATTTCATACATTAACTCGTGCTTGCGATAATTTTGAAACCGGCGGAATGAATATTTTGGTGACATTGGATTGTTCGCAAGCTATGAATATGTTTGAGTAAATGGAAATTGAAAAATTTAATTATTCATAAGACAGTTTGAACTCTCGAAGGAATTCGAGGAGGCTGTTATGTATGCATTGCGCGTCTCGGTGCTTTCACATAGGCACAATCGATACTGATGCGTACTATCGATTCATTACAATAATTATACCGAATGATTGTACCATGAATGGACTTTGCGTTGCTGTATTCTTTTTTAAACTGAATGCAGAAATTCAATATCATCTACTTGCATGATAATGGTAACGTGTAGCACAAGAATGAAACATTGATGCACCGCAATACCTCGTTTTCAATCCGACTTTAAATTCACACGAGTGGCATATTAAGAATCATCGGTTGCATTGGACGTGTGTACGTAGGAATTAACTTCTGAGAACCGCAGTATGAGTGTACGCAGGCGTCGCTAGTAGTAAAAATGGCGTCGGTGGATGTTGAACGTATCAAGGTAGGTGTCATTTTTTTTACAATTTTACGTCTATTTACCTTCCTTCCGATCGCTGCTGTTACCCGAAATTGTTGTTCGAATGGCTCTCTCTGTGTACAAACATAAACTCGAACTATTGTCGTCGTATACGCGATGTTTGGAGCACGAAGGGCGTTGGTTCTCTTCTGTCACAACAACAGTACTCTTGATAAAGCGTTATCGCTCCGTTTGGAGATAGTACAGCTAATTTCCGGTCTGCTTGTGTTTCATAATATTAATGGCTCATTCGTACTTTCAGCTGGAATCTAATATACGTAATTTGAAATTATCTGGCCATGTTGGATTTGACAGTCTTCCGGATCAATTGGTTAACAAATCTGTGCAAAATGGATTTGTATTTAATATCCTCTGCATCGGTGCGGAACATATACGATCTAATCAACACGATACTAACTACTACGATAGTAATCGACATTGCTTTTAATAGGCGAAACCGGTCTTGGGAAATCTACGCTTATGGATTCTCTCTTCAATACAAGTTTCGAGTCTACGCCGAGCCCTCACAATCTTCCGTCTGTGAAGCTCAAGGCGCACACTTACGAGTTACAGGAGAGCAATGTTAGACTGAAGTTAACTATCGTCGATACTGTTGGATACGGAGATCAAATTAATAAGGAGGATAGCTTTAAGGCGGTTGTCGATTACATTGATGCTCAGTTCGAGGCCTATTTGCAAGAAGAACTGAAAATAAAGCGCTGCCTGGCGACCTACCATGATAGTCGCATTCATGTTTGTTTGTATTTCATTTGTCCTACCGGTCATGGGTACGTACGCGCATAAAACATGTGCCGGATACAAATATCGTAGCTTTAATATTTAATTATTTGATTCATACGTAATTGCAGGTTAAAGTCCATCGACCTTGTGTGCATGAAGAAGCTCGACACAAAAGTGAATATCATTCCAATCATTGCTAAAGCAGATACAATATCCAAGACAGAATTGCAAAAATTCAAGAGCAAAATCATATCCGAACTGCAAAACAATGGAGTCCATATTTATCAATTTCCCACCGACGATGAAAGTGTAACAGAAGTGAATTCTAGTATGAATGCTCATATACCCTTTGCAGTAGTTGGTAGTACTGATTTAGTACGAGTGGGAAATAAAATGATGCGTTCCAGGCAATATCCATGGGGTACAGTGCAAGGTAGAGTATCATACTATCGTTAAAAAGTCAATATTTGTTTACAGTATTCGATTAATTAATTATTTTTTAATACAGTGGAAAATGAATCTCATTGCGATTTCGTCAAATTGCGTGAAATGTTAATACGGACGAACATGGAAGATATGAGAGAGAAAACGCATTGTCGTCACTATGAACTATATCGTAAAAGGCAATTAGAACAGGTGATAATATAAAATATTATTGTTTTTATATATGTTTCAGCAAAACTATCTGTTTTGTTTTACTGCGATTTCAGATGGGCTTCAGTGACGTGGACAGCGAGAACAAACCAGTTAGTTTCCAACAGACATGTGAGGCGAAGAGAACCCTCCATTTGCAAGAGCTCCAGCAGAAGGAAGATGAAATGAGACAAATGTTCGTAGTGAGGGTGAAAGATGCAGAGGCTGAATTGAAGGAAGCAGAAAAAGATGTAGAAATTGTTTTTTCTTTATTCATTTTTACTATTTCAGAATTTCGTTTGCAGAGCGATCATTTTCGTTTTCAATATTCGCCTTTCAGTTGCACATTAAATTCGATAAGCTGAAAAAAGATCACACGGAGGAAAAGAAAAAGGTGGAGGAGAGCAGGAAGAAACTCGAGGAAGACATTCTAGAATTGAACAGACGGAAGATGCAGTTCACACAGCAACCCCAGCATCACACGTTAACGCTAGGGAAGAGCAAGAAAAAATAGAAGAAATACGGTATCGCACACCTTCTTACTCCATAACGTAACGAGTATTATTACCTTAATTATTTGATACTTGACTCCCCAAGATTCACATATTAAATTATCCAAAGTTTCCAAGGCGCTGTAATTTGTTCTTACATTACTTATAACTATAGGTTTTACTTACGCCAGACTGATAATCATGACAACAGTGATGTTTACCAAATTTAAGTTACTTTTATAATAACATATGCACCATAAAGAAACAAATAAAAATATATTTGTTACTTATTGAACCGACTCGTTTGAACAGCATTCGCCTTCGAGTTTTTTTCCGTCACCTGTTGAACGAGCGAGTCCGTAATTAAATATTTTATTGTTCAACAAAATATAACAATCAACACAATTGCATTGTACTTACATGAACCTAACGTTATTAACCGTACATGTTACGTGGAATATATGAAACGATTATGACGTAGACTTTACAAAAGCTTTGTTTCGGTTGCTAACGTGCAGCAAGAATTGAAAATAGTATAATATGCAATACGATTATATCACAAGTCATGGAAAACCTTCACAAATTAATTCCGAGGTTCCTAAAAATTTACTCGAAACGATCGTCGTTCCTTCGGGATTGCGCAATTTCTCCAGAAATTCGTCACACGACGCCTGCCTGTTGAAACAAATTTGGATTTTCGAACGAAACACAACGTCGCGTTCGTTTCACGCCGGGGGTGGGGGGGGGGGGAAGAAAGGACGAAGAAAACATTTTCAATACTCTGCGTGGAAGCAAGCAGGTACAAAACAACTTAATCTTAAATGTGTATAAGACAGACTTACCAAGTAACGCGTTTACAATAATTATAATATGGCGGAATCGCTTCGTTCGCGCGTACCAGAAAATTAGTCTACACAGAACGCACTCGAACAAAGTCTCGTTGCATCGGCGGTTCACAATTTGTTATTGTTCACCATTTACAAAATAAATACAGTCTCTGCGCCAAGTAAATGCGTAACGAAAATTCCGAACGCAGTCACGTGTGGGACGCGCGAGAACAGAAAGTCCTACGAGATATAAAGGATTATGGTCTCAATTGAAGGGAATAAGGAAAAAGTCTAACAAAAAATTTCCTCGAACGACAATAGCCTCTCAACGTGCCGACAATACTCGTCGCGCATTTCTTTGCTTTGGTATTCCTTTGCACATTCCTGTGCCCTTGCATTTCTGTGAACCCAACAAACACATCGCACATAATTTAATTTCGACGATAACGTCCTCCATGAATCCCTTAGCCTACGTGTTTATTATAAAAGTACAAAACATAGATATATATGTATAAATATATATATATATATATATATATATGCATGTATGTATGTATGTATGTAATTATGGCAGTCATCGTGAAGCATTTTGCGATAGTTAGCCGATTTCTGAGTAACGCGTCGATTAAATGTGCCGAAACAGTGTGATATTCAATTTCAGGGTCGGCGAGTATACGTCGCCGTTGTAACATGCGAATAAAAAAAGAAGTGCAACTGCCTTGGCATTATCCTGCGAACAGAAATTATAATTACAAGAGTTCACAATGGTAAAAGAAAAAACACACGAGACCGTTTTTATCGTGCACGTTCATCGTTAACAGTCTGCAAAACACGATCGATTTAGCAAGCGATCGCTTCGATCGCGTCCGAACACGATAAACAAAACTATAATCGTATTTACAACGGGGAAACTGTTACGCCGCGCGACCGACCCTGCCATTTTTCTTGCCAATTTATCGTCTAAGTGCCTGGAGATATTTGAAGTGCGCTACGGGATACGCCTTCGCAGGCTGCAGCAATGACCAAGTGCGGGGTTGCAAGTGATACTCGAACGTCTCGGTGAACAGATTGCGTTCCGCAATCTCGGGAGACTCCTTGTGAACCCTTAAAACGTAGTTTTGCGAGACGGAATCGTTCGTGGGAACATACAAT